GGGGGGGGGGGGGTGAACAGTGCACTTCCACCATGATTTAGTTAGGTCCCTATTTATAACTAAGTGGTCTCACCTGGCCACATGAAGAACATTGCAATAAGCTGCTGGGTATCTTATTTAGATGAAGTCTACTGTATATACAACAGAAGACTGTCAGACAGTATCGTGGTAGTTTGGTGTTTGTAGCTTAAAGATTTTGCTGGGTCACTTCTCAGTTTCATTCAAGAACAATTTTAAAATAATTTTAAGAGTCTCTGTTCATAACAAATGTATTTCACTAGTTCCTTGTTGCCAAGCACTTTCTATTCCTAACCTTTACTCTACTCATGACCAGGGATCCTGGTTTTCTCTGACTTTAAAAATATCAGACAATTGGCAAATTTTTTTAAAACACAAAATCCACGATTAAAAAATTTAAAGCCTGCCCACCATGGTCTCAACAGCCCTCCTGATGCCCCTCGCATCAGGCCCACAGACATGCAGACACACAGACACTGACACCCACCCCAGCAGGTAAGTGTGTGTGGGGGGGGAGGAGGGGAAGGTGCTGGGGGGTAGATCAAGAAGGGGAGTCTGCCCCTGTGCCCACTCCCAAGAACAGGGCCAGTAGGCAAGGGCAGGGGTACCACTCTGGGCCACATGCTGGCCAGCCTGACAAGGGGTTTGCACACAGAGGCTGCCAACGCAACTCTGCCACTGTGCCCTGCACTACTATCCCGTGGCCACCTGCATGGCTTTGTGGGCAAGTGGCGCAGGGTGCTGCAGCGGCAGTGCGGTGGCAAGCACTGTGTGCGGGCCATGTGCTGCCCGGCCGAGGGGTGGAAGGTGGTGGGGGCTTTGCATGCAGTAGCATGCCCCGCAACCGGCTGCACAGTGGTGTGGGGTGGCAGTAGCTACATGTGGGGTGGGAGGGGAGGGCTTTGCAGGCAAGCGCTGCCACCGTGGAGCCATGCCCTTTGCCCCTGGATCCTAGAGGTAAGTGGGGCTTGGGGGCTGTGTGGCAGGGCTGGGGAAGGTGGCTGAGGGAGCGGGGGGTGCTGCC